GCAGGCCGCGACGGGGCACACCGGAACCTTGGAGTCGAGGGGCGGAGTCGCCCTGCCCCGACCTTGCAACAGTCGTGCTGTTGTCATCGCCGACGTCGCCCTTCCCCTTTCGCAGTCACAGCCCGTCAAGGATGCGGAAGTGATTTGGTTGCGTCGTCCTCTCTATGTTTGACGGGGTTGGACGGAGGATGCATCAAGGTGCCTGCCGGCGGCAGCCCCTGCCGATTCCTAACTGCTGTGGTGGTGCTCTCCGTGGGTCTTCTCCTCTGGCTCGGGGGAAGAAAATCAGTAACGCTACATCGACGGAAGGTTACGGACATTTTACGGGGTGATACTGATTTGTCAAGTTGTGATTGGATTAAGGGGGGAGGGATGGGCCCCACCCGGGTGAAAATCAGGGGGGCTGGAGAGATTATTAGGAAAGGGCCTGTAAAACTCCTGTAAGAGGCCCGTACGTTTAGCATTTTTGGAAGAAAATAAACATGTGGAGGAGGTAGCTTCGTCGCTACTCGCTAGAGAGATGAGGTTGGGGAAGGAAGCCGTGGGACGGGTGACACAGGGCATGTGGCGCGTGAAGGAGGGGGTTTACGGGACCTAGAAATCAGTCGGTAGATTTAGATACTTTTCCTAATAGAATTCCTGTTTACTACGCTACTCCATTTCTCTGCTTCCATGAAGATTTGGTTCAACACAACATGGGCCTCAACGCTCACTCAACATGGTCAACGCCTCCTACCCCGTCGCCCTCCCTCAGGAGACCACCCTCGCCACAACTTGTGTTGGAGATATGCCCTAGAGACAATCATGTATGGTGATATTTTTTATGTGTTTATGAATAAAGATAGTCCTTGGATGTAATCAATGATACTTGTTGGCAAGTACGTGTCTTGTCTGTGAGATCATGTGTTGTATGACACATCCTAAATTGTCCCTAGTCGCGAGTGGCGTGTGGGCACACGTCGGACTAGACTAGCATATGACACGATGGATGGCTCGGTCTCACTAGCCATGGAGCATTGGATACTAACAGGATAATATGGATTCGAAAGGATTTGGTCGGATTCGACGTAGTCGAATCCGAGTCGAGATAAGGTCCGAGTCGGACAGGCCCAACTATGAGACACATCGATATGTCATCTGTGAGTCTCTAGTACAACATATGTTCTATGTCCTAATGACACGTCTCCAACGTATCTACTTTCCAAACACTTTTGCCCTTATTTTGGACTCTAACTTGCATGATTTGCATGGAACTAACCCGGACTGACGCTGTTTTCAGCAGAACTGCCATGGTGTTGTTTTTTTGCAGAAATAAAAGTTCTCGGAATGACCTGAAAATCCACGGAGCAACTTTTTGGAATTAATAAAACAATACTGGCGAAAGAATCAGCATCAGGGGGCTCACACCTTGTCCACGAGGGTGCAGGGCGCCCCCTGCCTCGTGCCCCCCCTGGGATTCCACCGACCTCAACCCCAACTCCATATATTCACTTTCGGGGGAAAAATCAGAGAGAAGGATTCATCGCGTTTTACGATACGGAGCCGCCGCCAAGCCCTAATCTTCCTCGGGAGGGCTGATCTGGAGTCCGTTCGGGGCTCCGAAGAGGGGAATCCGTCGCCATCGTCATCATCAACCATCCTCCATCACCAATTTCATGATGCCCACCGCCGTGCGTGAGTAATCCCATCGTAGGCTTGCTGGACGGTGATGAGTTGGATGAGATTTACCATGTAATCGAGTTAGTTTTGTTAGGGTTTGATCCCTAGTATCCATTATGTTCTAAGATTGATGTTGCTATGACTTTGCTATGCTTAATGCTTGTCACTAGGGCCCGAGTGCCATGATTTCAGATCTGAACTTATTATGTTTTCATGAATATATGTGAGTTCTTGATCCTATCTTGCAAGTCAATAGTCACCTACTATGTGTTATGATCCGGCAATCCCGAAGTGACAATAATCGGGACCACTCCCGGTGATGACCGTAGTTTGAGGAGTTCATGTATTCACTAAGTGCTAATGCTTTGGTCCGGTACTCTATTAAAAGAAGGCCTTAATATCCCTTAGTTTCCAATAGGACCCCACTGCCACGGGAGGGTAGGACAAAATATGTCATGTAAGTTCTTTTCCATAAGCACGTATGACTATATTCGGAATACATGCCTATATTACATCTGAAAGTGCTAGTTATCGACTAGAGGGGGGGGGGGGTGAATAGGCGATTTTAATCAAAGTCTTCAA